CCTGAAGGGGCTGCAGGAAACCTGGAGAGGGGCTTGGGACAAGGGATGTAGGGACAGGCCAAGGGGAATGGCTTGAACCTGCCCGAGGGGAGACTGAGATGAGCTCTTAGGCAGAAGCTCTTCCCTGGGAGGGTGCTGAGGGGCTGTGGCTGCCCCATCCCTGGCAGTGTTCAAGGGCAGGTTGGACACAGGGGCTTGGAGCAAGCTGCTCCAGTGGAAGGGGTCCCTGCCCGTGGCAGGGGTTGGAGCTGGAGAAGCTTTAAGGCCCCTTCAACCCAACCCAGGCTGGGGTTCTGTGATCTGTGAAATGAAACCAAGTGTCAGGACGGGTTTCAAACCAGCCCAACTCCACCCTTCCTGGGGCACAACAACATCCACCATCGGTGCAGGGATGCTTCAGCTGAGGTTGGGGCTGCACAGCGGGACCAGGATGGGGTGGGAGCCCTGTGGGACAAGAGATGGGGCTGCCCTGCTCCATGAGCCCCCAGGCAGAGCCACCCAGGATCTCTATTTAATCAGGATGAACAGACAAGCTCTAATCGGGCCCGAGCAGCAGCACAGCAGGAAAACCTCAAACAAGTCATCAATGTGTTATCTCCTCTTGGTAGCTGCTGCTTCTGCCCCCCATATCTGCTCATGGTCCCCACTGATGGGAGTGATGGGATGCTGCAGGTTCTCAGGCTGTCCTGGGCTGCATCCCAACGCTTCCCTCTGGACACAAGGTGCTTTTCCCTCCCTGTTGGCAGGATCCTGCACCGGAGGGGTCCAGCTTTGTGCTGTTACAGCCCCTGTCTCAGCACCCAGGGTGCCCCCTCTGCCTCCTGTGGTCCCCCCAAGCCCAGCCCTCGGCACTATCAGGCAGTCTGAAGCAGATCACAGTCCTCATCTGAGGGCGAGCGCTGGGAAGCGTTGCAGGAGGGGGTGTCCTTCCCCTGCCCCTGCATCTCAAAGGAAGAGCATCTCAACTGAAAGAGCAGCAGAGGAGAAGCACGATAAAGCAAGATAAAGCCCAGCCTGTGCCCGTGCAGATAGAGATGGGCAGGGAGCTGCTGCTTCACAACAGGAACCCCCTCCTGTGGCTGAGGGCACCTCGGTTTTGATGGGAGCAGTGGTGGCCAAGGCCAGGTTGGACACAGGGGCTCGGAGCATCCTGCTCTAAGAGGAAGGTGTCGCCACGGCATGGGTTGGAGCTGGTTGAGCTTTGAGGTCCCTTCCATGCCAACCCAGGCTGGGGTTCTCTGCTTTGCCCCCCTGTGATGTCCCTGACAAGGAGCTGGTTCTTGTCTGATCTCTCCTTCCTGAGCTGCTCACGCGCTGCCAACAGCTCGAGCAGCTCCTTGGGCCCTGGCAAGGGTGCGTGGCTCCATCCCCGCATCCTTTGGGCTGTGCTGAGCATCCCCAGCAGCTCAGCCTGAAGCAGGGCTGAGGGGTGAGGGTCACATTGACCCTTCTGCCCCCAGCGCTGTGCCAGGGTGCCCAGAGAAGCCGTGGCTGCCCCATCCCTGGCAGTGCTCAAGGCCAGGTTGGACACAGGGGCTTGGAGCAAGCTGCTCCAGTGGAAGGGGTCCTTGCCCATGGCAGGGGTTGGAGCTGGAGGAGCTTTAAGGTCCCTTCCAACTCAAGCCATTCTCTTTGCTCTCCACTTGGGGACCTCTCCATGGCTTTGTGTGTGTGTGTGTGGGGGGGTGAGAGCAGGGAGCAGCCACAGCTTTAACCTGAGCTCAAGGTGCTCGGGGCGTGTTTTCTCTATGCAGTTGCCCTGGGTGGGGTCCCCCCCTGCACAGGGATGTGGTTGGTGCTGATGTTGTAACTTCCCCTTTCCCACTGGGGTAGGTAGAACCCTCTCTTGTTTTGCACAAGGAGCCTCCTCCCTGCTGGGCCATAGACACGCATCTGGAGAGCTGCTGGACCTCAGCGGGCAGCGGGAGCCTCGTCCGGGTACCACTGGTGAGTGCATCAGGAGGATGGAAGCGCTGTGTTGGGAGCAGCATCCTGCAGGGCTTCCTCTCTGGTTGAGTTTTGCAGGCACAGGGTCAATGATGGGCGTTGACATTGTTCAATCACATCAGGCTGCGCTGCAGCAAGGGGCAGCAACTTTGTGCTTCCCTGTGCTGGGTGCTGGGAAGCTCCTGACCCATCCCTGGTGGGTGCTTGGAGAGGTGCTGGTGGAGGCTGCAGGGCTCTGACCGCTGGTCCCTATGGCCCTGGGCTGCCTGGACTTGCTGCATGGACAGGGCAGGGTGTGGATGGATGTGTCCTGATGGACGAGCTGGGCCCATGGGGAGCCTGGACAGGGATGTGCCTTGGGTACATCCCATGGGTGGTGAAGGGGCAGTTGCTCCCTGCCAGGCTCAGGGGTGAATTGAATGGCACCAAAGGCAGAGCTCTTGGTGTCTCTAGGTGCTCTTAGTGGCTTTGTTGAGCAGCCCAAGGCCAGGCAGGTGTTTCCCCATCAACCCAGCACACCCTGACTCAAAGCAGCTCCTGACACATCATTTCACTCCTGTCCCACCTTCCCAAGCAGAGCAAAGCTGAGAACAGCCACAAACGATGAAGTTAGGGACGATGTCAGTGCTGTGCCTCGCATCAGGAAACTGCATTAAACAACAGGAAGCCCATGCTCATGCTTGGACTTACAAAACACCTCACCCTCCTCTCCCCTTTCCTTCCAGTGCTGCCGGCAGGCAGGACTCTGGCTCGCATCTCCACGCTGTACAGAGCTGCTGGGCTCAGCCTGCTCCAGCCACAGCCCCCTGGTGCCTCTGCTCTGCTCCCAAGCCTTGCTCCATCCTGCATCCCAAAGCTCAGAGGATGGATGGTCCGGAGCGGAGCTGGCTGGCGAATCTCTCCCTTCCCCTTGGCTCTGCTCAGTATCCCGAGCTCAGACTTGAGCTGCTCGACAGGCAAAGCTCCTGCCTGGAGCTGGCTGCCCTGAGGAACGTGAACATCATCCTGCAGCACTACAACTTCACGGGCAAGCTGAGCAACAGGCAGGCCGGGGACGAGGGCACTGGGCTCACCCGCACAGCGTTCGCCGTCATCAGCTGCATCATCATCCTGGAGAACCTGCTGGTGCTCTTGGCCATCCTGCGGTGCCTGCGAGCGCGCCGCTGGGTCTACTCCTGCATCGCCAGCATCACGTTGAGCGACCTGCTGGCCGGGGCTGCCTACCTGTGCAACCTCTGCCTCTCGGGCAGGAAAACCTTCCAGCTCTCCCCGCAGCTCTGGTTCCTGCGGGAAGGAACCCTCTTCATGGCGCTGGCCGCCTCCACCTTCAGCTTGCTGGTGACCGCCATCGAGCGCTACAGTGCCATGGTGAGGCCCATCGCTGAGAACGAAGCCAGCAAGACCCTGCGCTTACGGGGCCTCATCGTGTGCTGCTGGCTCTTGGCCTTCGTCATCGGGCTGCTCCCGCTGCTGGGCTGGAACTGCCTGTGCCACTTGAGCGCCTGCTCCGTCCTCCTGCCTCTCTACTCCAAGAACTACATCCTTTTCTCCGTGGTCATGTTCAGCATCATCCTCCTGGGGATCCTCGGCCTCTACATCTCCATCTTCCAGCTGGTCCAGGCCAGCTCGAGGCAAACCAGCTTGAGGCACAGCCGCAAGCGGTCCCTGCGCTTGCTCAAGACCGTGCTGATGATCTTGGGGGCCTTCATCATCTGCTGGAGCCCCCTCTTTGTCCTGCTGCTCTTGGACGTCTTCTGCGAGCCCCGGAGCTGCGCCCACCTCCACAGCCTGGACTGGACCTTGGCTCTGGCCATGCTGAACTCGGGGGTGAACCCCGTCATTTACTCCCTGCGCAGCGTGGAGGTTCGCCGCGCCGTGGGGAGCCTCCTGTGCTGCTGCTGCGTCCGCCTCGGCCTTTGCGAGCCCGGGAGCTGCTTGGTCGTCACGGACATCAACTCGGGTTCATCCACCGAGAGCTCCCTGCGGTACCGGGAGAGCTTCCGCAGCGCCCGGCCCCGCGCTCCGCTCTCCAGTAACTCCAGCATGATGAGCAACCTGCCCAGCCTCTGAGGGCGGCGAGCAGGAGATGCCCCACAGCTCACCAGGACCTCCTGCTGCTGGGCCTGGCCCGGCTGAGGCCAACCCAGGCAGCTCGGGTTTGATTGAGTGTGGCTCCATCCCAGTTGTTGGCTTTCCGGTCGCTTCAGCCCGGGGTACGGCTCCGGTGGGGTGGGAGTGAAGGATGCGGGCACATCCCTCTGTTGGGTTGGAAGCGGACCCTGTTCTATGGATGATCCTTTTCCCCACACCGGTGTTTGCAGCAATCACTGCAAGAGTCATCGTCACCCGGGGACTGCAGTGGGGCGGAGCGGCCGCAGGTTCCTCCAGGGGATGGAAGGGTCTGATCCTGGCCCGTCCGGAGGAGGGGGTGGCACAAGAGATGTTCTGAGGGTCTCCACCTCCCGATGGGCTGGAAGAAGCAGAGGAGGCAGCTCAGGAGCCACAAGCTCAGCAGCCACACACAGACCCCCATCCCCGCCCCACTGATGCCTCTGCCCCTTCCATTTAGCCCCGGAGATCCCGAGGTCCTGCAGCTCCAAGGGCCAATGGGGACCCGCTCCGAGGTGGCTTTGCCCCCGCTTGGAGCCCTTCGCTTTGGGGCCGGGGCTGAGCAGCTCCTGTGGGAGCCGTGGGAAGCTCCAAACCAGCCCCAGGGCCCGATGGAGCCCGGTTCGTGCCTCGCATTCCCCCTTCCCCATTCCCACACCCGCGGCACCGGGCAGCTCCCGGCTCTCCCCAATAAACGGAGCTGCCGGAACAGCTGCGCCCGAGCTCTCATTCATGGCCCGGGGGAAACCGGCACCGGCAGCGCCCTCCATGCCCAACCGGGGGCGGGGAGAGGGGGGAAGCAACGGGGCCGTGACCGGGGTTGGGGGGGGGTGTCCCGGTGTTCTCCGGTCGGAGCGCCCCCTGCAGCCCCGACGGGAGCACGAACGGAGGCGCCTACAACTCCCAGCGTCCCTTGCGGCGGCGCCTCGAACTACAGCTCCCAGCATCCCGCGGGCGCGGTGCGTGCCGTGCGTGGCCGGTGGAGCGGGGCCGCAGCGGCGGGGCCGGGGGCCGGTGCCGGTGCCGCGGCGATGCTGGAGGAGGCGGGCGAGGTGCTGGAATCGGTGCTGAAGGCTTCGTGCCTGCCGCTGAGCTTCCTGCTCTTCGTGCCCGCCGTGCTGCTGCTGCTGCTGGGCCCGCCGCCCGCCGCGGAGGCCGCGCACGAGTTCACCGTGTACCGCATGCAGCAGTACGAGCTGGGCGGGCAGCCCTACGGTGAGACACCGGGCTCGGGCCTCCGGGAGGGCGAATCCCCCCCCTCGCTTTCCCTCCGTCCCTTCTTCTCTGCCTCCCTCCTTCCCGTTCAGCGGTGGTGGGGACCCGCCAAGAGCCCAGAGCCCGGGGAGGGGCCCAGCGAAGGCCGCGAAGCCACGGGCGGCCCGGGGAGGGCGGCCAAGCGCAGGCCGCGGGGAAGCCGCAGCCGGGCCCCGTCGGGCAAAGCCCAGGCTCAGCGGGAGCAGGAGGGGGCCCCGCAGGGTGAGCCGGGGGTGGCCGGGGCTCCCGCTGTGCCCTGCAGGCTCCTGCATGTGGGGTTTACTCCGCAGCTCTGTGGCACGTTGGGGAGCTTGGTGCTGAGCTCGTTTCTGTTCTCCTGCCTTTGAGCCCTCAGTGGCTCCTCAGGCTCTAGCAGCATCTCCATTCGGGAGTCTGTCCTTGTACAGCTGCTCCTTTATGCTACCGGTGACCTCCAGCTCCTCCGTTCTGTTGCTGGTTGTGCAACACCTTCCTTACGGTCAGACCTGTTCTGTGAATCATTGAAGTGCTGAAGCTCTCAGTCTCCTCCTCCTGCACTCGCTAACCCAGAGCCAAGCGGGGTTCCTGACTCTCCCGGAGGTACCTCCACGTTGTTGAGAGCCTCGCTGGGTCCCAGGCAGATGCGCTCGTGGGTCTCCTGCCATCTCCTTGTGTGGTTGAGAGCTGGGCTGGGTCAGCCTGGAGAAGAGAAGGTTCCTTAAGGAGAGACCTTAGAGCAGCTCCAGTGCCTAAAGGGGCTGCAGGAAACCTGGAGAGGGGCTTGGGACAAGGGATGCAGGGACAGGCCAAGGGGAATGGCTTGAACCGGCCCGAGGGGAGACTGAGATGAGCTCTTAGGCAGAAGCTCTTCCCTGTGAGGGTGCTGAGGCGCTGGCACAGGGTGCCCAGAGAAGCTGTGGCTGCCCCATCCCTGGCAGTGTTCAAGGGCAGGTTGGACACAGGGGCTTGGAGCAAGCTGCTCCAGTGGAAGAGTTCCCTGCCTGTGGCAGGGGGTTGGAGCTTTAAGGTCCCTTCCAACTCGTTCTCTGGTTCTATTTATACAAGATGTCCTTGTGGTCTGCTCTTGGAGAGTTCTGGAGCTGCTGGAAAGCCTCCAGGCTGCTGCTCTCCCAGAGGATTGCATTTTCATGTGAGGGATTTGATACGCTGGGACTGAGAGCAGGAGAGAGGGAGCAGTTCAAAGCAGGCTGCACAGAAACATCCCGGTGCCTGAGCCAGGCCAGCCTGCGTGGTTGTGGTGGAGAGGAACCTTGGGGAAGGCTGTGTAGTGCTTCAGGGAGGTGAGTCAGGCAGGATGTGGCTGCACAGGTGGATGCAAGGCAAACCCCCAGATCTCTGTCCCTTCTTGGATGGAGGGGAAGGGACGAGGTTGGCTCTCTGCAGGTCCTGGCTGCTCAGAAGCTCACCACATTGGCCCTGAGAAGGGGCTGGGCTGGAATCTCTTAGCAAGGCTCTTGCTGCTGTCCTGCAGGCACCAGGAGCGCGGTGCTCAACACGGAGGCGCGCACGGTCGAGGCGGACGTGCTGAGCCGCCGCTGCGTCATGATGCGCCTGGTGGATTTCTCCTACGAGCAGTACCAGAAAGCTCTGCGCCAGTCCGCGGGTGCTGTGGTCATCATCCTGCCCCGAGCCATCTCCTCTGTCCCGCAGGATGTCGTCAGGGTAAAAACCAGCAGGTTCCCTTTCTCTTCCCATGGGAGATGGAGTGGAGGTGGCGGGGGGAGACGTTTGGGTTGCTGCAGGACTGAAAGCTCCTGGTTTTGTGCACTTGCTCTGATTTCAAGCTTGGCTTTCTCTGCTTTGGAGGTTCATTTTGCTCTGCCCTCCTGCACCTTTAGCAGCTGCTGAGTCTCTGTCTCCTTTCAACCCACAGCAGTTCATGGAGATCGAGCCGGAGATGCTCGCGATGGAAACCATCGTGCCAGTCTATTTTGCAGTGGAAGATGAAGAGCTGCTGTCAATCTATGAGCAAACCCGGGCTGCTTCTGCCTCGCAGGGCTCTGCCTCGGCTGCAGAAGGTGAGTTCTGACAAGTGGGAAAGGTTTAGAGGAAGGACAGGCCTGGACCCACCTCTGGGAGCAGTCTGTTGTGTCATGCACCGTGAGCCAGTGGTCTGCTGCCTTCATGTTCTGTCTTTATTAAAGCACTTTGAGGTTTAATGGAATTAAAACACACTGTAAGAGAGTATTAGAGTATTGCCTGGCTGAGTTTAGAAATACAGCTGCGTGGAGCTTAGTTCTCAGCTTCACACTCTTGCAAGTGAGAGAGAAACTCAGGTTAAAAACCAGCACTGAAGGTGTTAAATGACTACAGTGTGGTGGGGTTTGGGAAGCTTTTTGTCTGCCTACAGGTCAGTTCACTGCTTCCATGTATTTCCCTGTAAAGAACTTTTCTATCTTTAGTGGCCTGCTGCGTGTGGTGAACTTCAGGATTGCTGGAGAAAGGGGTTTGGTTTAGCCAGCTCAAAATGCTGGGATTTGAGGACAGAATGGAAGTGCTTGGTCACCAGGTTTCCATGTCAGTGCACAAGCAGCAACTGAGAGGGCTTAGATGGTTTGAAGCTGGCCTCCAAAGCTCAAAACGATGGAAATAAGGGATGAAGCTTCCCCAGGGGCACATTTCTGTCTGGTTTGTTCTAGTCCTGCTGCACACAGCAACTGCCAATGGCTTCCAGATGGTGACCAGCGGGGCTCAGAGCAAAGCCATCAACGACTGGCTCATCCCCAGCGTGGAGGTGAGTTGTGGATGGGTTCAAACTGCAACACTGGTGGGATACCACCTTCTGTTGGGGCTTCATTTGGACTGGTAGGGGAAGTGAGGGGGGTTCTCAGCCAGAGAAGTGTCTTAAGTCCTGGGAAGAGAGGCTGCTTCAGGCTCAGTGTGAGTGTAGAAGTCTTTGTACAGGGGACAGAAGTGATGCTGGATGACACTGACTTCTCTCCTCTGCAGGGAAGGCTGACGGGGCTGGGTGGAGAAGACCTGCCCACTGTTGTGATAGTTGCCCACTATGATTCTTTCGGAGTGGCTCCAGTGAGTATCTTTCCTTTCTGCAGCTCCCATATGGCCTCTGCCCCGCTGGGTTTTCTTGGCCTTAAAGGAAGATGGGGTGGGCTATCCTGAAGGTTGTTGTGCTACAAGGGTCAGTGTAAGGTTGTCACCTGGTCTCCCTTTGTCCTGCAGTGGCTGTCACATGGGGCTGACTCCAATGGCAGCGGGATCTCGGTGCTGCTGGAACTCGCCCGGCTCTTCTCCCGGCTCTACACCTACAGACGTACGCACGCGGGGTGAGAACTGCCCTCTTCCTGCTTCGGTGTCCCAGGCTGAGTCCTGTAGTGTGCAGTGTGATGTGCTGACACTCTCCTGTCCTCTTTGACCTGCAGGTACAACTTGCTGTTCTTTGCATCTGGAGGTGGCAAGTTTAATTATCAAGGAACCAAGCGGTGGCTGGAAGACAATTTGGATCACACTGGTGAGGAGGGGGCTGTGTGTTCTCTAGCAAGGCTTCTTAATACAATGGTGTTAACTGGAATATCAACCCTCCTGGGGGAATCTCCCTGCTTTTTGGGGATGGAAATCCCAACATAAAGCAGAGCAATAAGGGTTTGGGTTTGTCTCTTCCAGATTCCAGCCTGCTGCAGGACAACGTAGCGTTTGTTCTCTGCCTCGATACTCTGGGTCGAGGCAACAGCCTCCACCTCCATGTCTCCAAGCCTCCCAAGGAGGGCACTTTGCAGCATGCGTTTCTGAGGGAGCTGGAGACGGTAATGAGAAGCATTTTAAGTAGATGGGGAGTTTGGGACTTACTGTGGGGAGTTGCAGCTCTCCAAGAGAGGAAAGGATGAAGGAGGAGTTGTGCCATGGAGGGATTTCGTGTGTTGTTGGTTTGAAGTGCAGACAAATCCTCGTGCCACAGTCCCAGCTGAAGCAGACCAGATCTGCATTTTCCACTGCACTTCCTTATGGCTTGCTGCTTGCAAAAGCTCCCCTGTAGTGACCCTAAACCAGCTTTTTCATAGAATCACAGACTGGTTTGGGTTGGAAAGGACCTTAAGATCATCCAGGTCCAACTCCCTGCCATGGGCAGGGATGCCTCAATACTAGACCATGTCACCCAAGGCTCTGTCCAGCCTGGCCTTGAACACTGCCAGGGATGGAGCATTCACCACTTCTTTTCTGACATTAAACCAACTTTTTAATGGCAGTAACTGCACCTTAGAGGTGGAAGTAACTGCACCTTGGGGAACACAAACCAGCTGGGTCTGGGCAGTGTGAGATGGGACTGTGCAGTGGGCAGTGACACCCTGGATGTCCTTTGCCTCAGGTTGTTACCAGCCAGTTCCCAGAGGTGAAGTTCTCCATGGTGCACAAGAAGATAAACCTGGCTGAGGACATGCTGGCGTGGGAGCACGAGCGCTTCGCCATCCGCCGCTTGCCCGCCTTCACCATCTCCCACCTGGAGAGCCACCGGGACAGCCGGCGCAACAGCATCATGGACAGGAGGTGGGAGACCACCCCCCATCCAACCTCAGCACTGCTGCTGCTGTGCTGATGGGTGAAAAACCACTGGGAGTTGGGTTCTGGATTGCTGCAGTGGGAAAGGGGGGTTCTAGAGGAGTTCTAGAGCCGCCAACAAGTCTATAATCCCCTTCTTCTGCTTTAGGTCACGAGTAGACACTAAGGCACTAACCAGGAATACCAGGATCATTGCTGAGGCTTTGACAAGGGTCATCTACAACCTAACAGACAAGGTAAGAGCTGTCCATTGGGCTGTCTGCCACCTTTGTCCCGCCCAAGCAGGTGCCCTGCACCAAGGGTTTTTATTCCCTTGCAGGGCGCACCTGCAGACCTGCAGATCTTCACGGACCAGATGGTGAGCACAGGTTTTATTTGTGGGAAGGAGGAATGAAGGATCTGTGAGAGGGGCCCTGGTCCCCGTGCTTGACTCCTTTTGCTTTGGTGGTGTTTTCTTGCAGCAGATCCAGCAGGAGCAGCTGGAATCAGTGATGGACTGGCTGAGCAGTCAGCCCAGGGCTGCGCAGCTCATCGATAAAGACAGCACCTTCCTCAACACCTTAGAATATTACATGGGTCGCTACCTGAAGGATGTCAAACAGCATCACGTAAAGGCAGACAAAAGGTAAGACAAGGAGTGAAAGCATGCACATTGGCTTCCCCCTCTAATGCTTTCGTGTCCAACTTCTTGGCATGGAGCTGGAAGTGATTGGTCCTTCCTTCTCTCCTGTCGGCTTTGGTTCATGCTCTCTGTTGTCCCGAAGAGAGCTCTTTCTCATCCTCACACCACAGTAACAAGTCCCAGCAGCTCCCTCTGTGTGAAGAGCTTGTTTTGGTTCCATGCTTCCCACTCTCGAGTGCTGCTTTCCTCGGGATGCAGGGAAAGACTCAGGTCCCCTGGAAAACTTTAATGGCAAGGAGGCAACCCTGCTGGGGTTGAAGCAGTTTAATGACCATGGCGAAGCATCTTCCATGGGCTGCTCTGAGACAGCTGAACAGCATGTTCTGAATTGTACACTTGGGCCTCTGATGGTAGGAAAGACTTAACTAAAACCAGTTCAGAACTGGAATGCAGGTGGTCACGCTTCCCTGCTTCTGGCTGGATGAACTCCTTGGGAATGAGGGGCTTGGGCTGTCCTTGCCGCAGCGTTGAGATGCATTGTACAACCTGAAGGGTTTCTTCTTTTCACAGGGACCCTGAGTTTGTGTTCTATGACCAGCTGAAGCAGGTGATGAATGCATACAGGTACGGAGCCCCCTTGGATGTGGGGAGCTGTTGCCTCCCTCTGTAGCTGTAGCAATTTCAGGTGTTTTTTCTTTGTCACAGGGTCAAGCCAGCAATCTTTGACCTGCTCCTGGCTGTCTGCATCGCCGCCTACCTTGGTGTTGCCTATGTGGCAGTGCAGGTAAAGGGGAATAAGCAGGAAGTGGGTGTAGTATTTCCCTCACAAGTCACATTAGCTGCAGTAACTGGTGCTCGCACCCTCCCAGCACCACAGTTGAAACAATAATGCCACTCCACTCTAAAAGCAGTAGTCCAGGATGGCTCTTTGATGTGCATGTGTTTTGAGTACCCGAAGGCCATCTCTTGCCATTTTAGTTCCCCTCCAGAACAAACAGAGCTGCATCCAAAAAATGAAAAGACTTTATCAAGTGCTTGCATCATCTCTGGGGGGGTGAGACAGGCACAAACACTTCTGTACAGCTCCAAGTTGTAATAACTCCTGTTGCACCAGGTGCACCCTGTCCTCAGGGTGAGTGCTCCGTATGATCCGGACAAGGTGTTGCATTTGCCCAGTGGGATTGAGTTAAGCCTTCTAGTAAGCTTCCACAACGCAGCATGGTTGAGGTTGGGAGGGTCATCCAGTCCAATCTCCCTGCTCACCTTAGATGTCTCCTGAATATGTCCAGGGAAGGAGATTCCACAACCTCTCTGGGCCACCCTACTCTGGTGCTCAGTCCCCCTCGCTGTAAAGAGGTTCTTCCTCACGTTTAGTTTGTGCCTGTTGCCTCTCTGTAGAACACAGTCATTTTATGAGTATTGAGAAGGACTGATGGTTACTTATTTTCCTTCTGTTCCCAGCACTTTGGTCTCCTTTACAGGATGATACAGAGATTATCCCTTAAAACCAAGCAGCAGTGAAGCCCCAAGGCACCACCCAGACAGCAGCACTGAGCCATCGGTGAGCCCATCAGGAACTTTTTCTGCCTTCCGTTGAATCCTGCTGGTTTTCTTCCTCTGTCTCCTCTTTGCTCCTCTATAGAGGGGAGGAAGGCAGAAAGAACATGACATTTTAACTCTTGTGCACCTTTGAAGTGCTTTTCTTCACCTTCTTCCCCTGCATTTGCACCATGTCTGATTTCCTTTGCTTTTGGCAAGGGAAAGGCTCAGAGACATCAGGAGTTCTGCAGGTTGATCCAACACTGGCTGGTTCTGAGCAGCTTCTGTGAGTGTAAAAGCAAGTCCAGCACCTTCATGGACACACATGTCATACTTGGAAACTACAGAGTAGAGTGATGTATAACCTCTGCCCAGCAAACAGGACTGGGAGCACTTGTTTTAACCAAAAAGAAGTGCACGTGAAATTAAAGAGAATACTATTAGCATGGTTTCTTATGGCACCTTATCTTCCAGGCCTGGCTTTAGGAAGGTGTGTTGAGCAATTAGACTGTGCAATAACTCCCTCCCTTCAAGGAGCTGCACTGGAACTGATCTCTGCTGTTACTGGCAGGATGAGTCAAGATTGGTCAAGCAGGTTCCTTGCAGTAGGGTTTGTGCCAGGGCAGATTCCCTCCCGTCTCCCGTGGAAGATGCATTGTGCTGGGTACTTGGTTTCTCTGGTCCTTGAGCAGTTCACAGCTGCCATCGCTCTGTACCAACCTCTGGCTTGATTTTGAAGAGGTGTTCTACAGGTCCAACTGCTGCAGGGCCCTGTTCTATGCTGTTCCATGTATTTAAATGAACTGGTTGTATTAATAACAAGAGCAACCCAGCTCCTGCTGAGCTCTGGTCTGTAATCCCTTCACTCTCCATTCCTCAGCTTTCACTTCCAGATGGGGTCTGGATTTTGGGGGGGTTCCCATGTTCATCTGCATCTCAGGGTCTCATTTCATGTTTTTCAGCTCTTTATTAGTTTTGGAAACACTGTTCCTGGCCTGCACGTTCCCAAAGTGCTTGTTGCTGTCCTTTCATGTGCTGCCCCCAGTGTGTATGGAGGGAGGCAGGTCCCTTTAGCCATTAAAAAGCAAAACAAACCTCAAAAAGGAGTTTCATGAATGTCGTTTTAAACATGGCTCTTTCTAGAGCAATACCTAAGAGAGCATCTCTTGGAACACACACTCTCTATTACTTTTATCCTTGAGCAAGGCTAAGTTTAACTTTGCTGCTGCTCCTGGCTGGAGAGCCAAATGTTGTTCAGAGATAAGGCTTGGGTGCTCAAGAATTGTCATCTGCAGTTGAAGCTCAGAGTCAAAGGCTTCCACCAAGGCAGTGTGGTAACAGCTCTGTCCCTGTCAGGGCTGTAGTATTAAAGCAGATCTCAACAGGGAACACTCCTGATGCAGGGCCTGGAGCCAATGGCAGCCCTTTAAATGAAAGGTTGAAAGAGGCAGAGGAGGAGAGCTCATAAACCTGAGGGGCACATCACGATTTATCCTGTAATCTGGATGCCCGTTGTGTAGCTGGCTGCTAGAGAAAGTAGTTTTTACTATGGTAAAGGGCTTCTGCTTTCGGTCCAAATGCGTGGGCATCGAAATACTCTCCACTCCCATCAAATTCCAGCTTTCTCATAGCTGGAGCAGAGCGAACTCCATTGCCCCAGTGCTGCTTCCTTTGGGAAGCTGACAGCGAAGCTTGTAATAAATAGACCCTGCTATTCTGCTAGGTTTGGAAAACCCAAGGAAAAAGGTGCTGAGCTATAGTGCAGTGCATTGCTCAGTTCTGCCACTGCTGTGAGCCACGAAGGCAGAAACAACCGCTGTTGTGGTGAGATAAAAGCTCACAACACTGCAGCAGAGCTCTATGTAGCTGGTTCTTGTTGCCCCTGTTTTTATGGAGCCTTTTTGATCAGGAGTTTCCATGGCATGTAAGGAAGAAGCATAGAAAACATATGTCCACATGCACACGAGCGACTGGCAGCGGATGCTTGTAGCCAGAAACCCCTTGGCTTTGCTCTCTGCCTGGTGTTACCTGCTGCCCTGGTGCTGTCTAAGCCTGCACCTCCAAAAACCTGCTTTTCCAACAGGTTTTAAGCACTGAAGCTGTTCCTTCTGCCCACTCCCACCCTCACAAGCACTAATGGGGACTGTGTGCGGGTAGCTTGGACTGCTGTAGTCCATCTCCCAAACAAGAGGCTGCTTTGTTGCTCTGAAGTAAGTGCTACTGCGCAATAGGGACTCTCTACTCTTGTACTCCGTGTGAAGAGGAAAGGCCCTGAAGCCAAAGCAGAACTGGGTATCCCACTCCCTGTGCCTGAAGGCATCACCACGACCTCTCCAGAATGCTTCAAACCACCCCAAATTGGGGTGGGGGTGGTTTGAAATCACCCACCCTCGTGGTGGTCACAGCACAAAGCGGGTTTTCCATTGAAGAGCCATTCACTTTTGATCGAACTGATCCGAAATGATGCGGCTGCTCCTCGGTGTCCCTGCAGGTTGGGCCTTGGGGTGGGGGGGCTCCGGGTTGATCTGGTTTCGTTTCCATTTGGAATTCTTGGATAGCAATTCCATGGTGATCATCTGGAAGAGCTGAAGCTCGGGAGCAAAGAGTTGATGGCTCTGGCAGTGTTGCCTCCATTGTTTCTCTCTCGTGTGTCCTAAAGAACAAATGTATATTGAGTGACTATTTAAAAGCTAATAGAAAATTCAATGCAGTTGATTGACCTATGATTATTTTCCTTTTTTTTTTTTTTTTCCCTGACTATAAATGTAATAATATTTAAGTATTTCCACGTTTTTCCTTCCCTTCTTCGTTTGTCCCTTTCGTGCCTTGGGAAAAAAACCCAATAAACCCCATGAGTGGGTTTGATGAACAGATTTGGGTGGAGAGCTGGAAGCTCCCAAAGGCCTGGAATCTCCTGGACTGATTTGAAGGGATAAACATGGATTTCCACCCTTTTGGTTTACATCACCCCTTCTATAGAGTCCAAAGCCAAATAGTAGGATGGACCCCATTTAGGGACCCTGAGCAAGATTCCACCCCCCCCCAAGGTGAGGCAATTCCCATGTATCCCAACGTTTTGCGCTGCTTGGAAGCAGTTAAAGCTTCTAATGCAAGAAAGCTCCAGCCTCTGCCGTTACAAATGACTCTTGGAACACTTGGGAGCTGTTTGTTCGTGTTTAGAGGTGTGTGTTCGCCGAGTCCTGCAAAACACAGCGGCCGTGGAATGGGTGGAAGGAGCCTTCGAGCCCATCCAGCTTCGAGCCCCTTGCCACGCACCTCGCACTAGGCCGGCTTGCAGCGAGCGACCGGCGGCCATGGCGAGAGCCCGCTCCCCTCACGGCCCGGCCCTGACGGGGCGGGGCGAGGCGGGGCAGCGCGGCCACGATTGGCTGGCTGGAAGAGGCGTTGACATGGCGGGAAGAGCAGCGAGCCGCGCGATTGGCGGAGCGGCCGCGGGGAGGGGCGGGGCTTGGCTCTTGGGGCGGACGGCGGGACGGCGGCGCGGGCAGAGCTCCGGGAGGTACCGGTAGGGCCGGGGCTCCCCGCCTGCTCCCGGTGTCTCTGACGCCCGGTTCTTGCCCATAGGATGCCCAAAGGCAAGGATTTGGTGGGGATGAACAGCGTGGAGATTGACCGGAAGGGAAAGGATGGGAAGGAAAAGGTTAGCGAGCCGCTTCGGCGGTGTGACGGGCACCGTGTGGGCTGTGGAGGCCCGGGTAATGCCTTCCTGCGGCTCCTCACCCCGCTCTTCAAAGCGGTGATCTCTGTGTCTAGAAAAGAAAGAAAGAAGCGGCTTTGAAGGCAGAGAAAAAGCTGAAAACAGAGGCCAAGTCTTCAAAGGCGATAGAAACCCCAATGGGACAAGGTGGTGAGGAGGGGGCCATGTTCCAGGTACTGAGGGCAGGGAGCTGCTCTTCCTCCATCTCTCTATATCCACCTTCCCTCTACCTGCTCCCCTTGTAAGACAGCATTCCCGGCTCTTGAGTGGCCCATGTGGCTTGGGCAGGTTCACCACGGGCTCTGTGTCCCTGCAGATTGGGTACATGCGCTATGTGCGAGTGTCCTGCTTCAAGGGGAAGGGCCTGGTGGACATCAGGGAGTTCTACGCTGGCAAGGATGGTGACGTGAAGCCAGGGAGGAAAGGTACCGGTGATGTTTGGGGGGGGTTTCCCTTATAATGGCAGGGAGAACACCCCCCTCCAAAAGTAAATCCACTCTTCCCAATTGAGGTGGGGACAGGAAGGATAAGACCCTTCTAGGTCCCTCCCAGGACCCTGCTGTGTTAGGTGTTCCTTATCCTTTAGGCGAGCTGTGTGGCGATGTGCTATAGAGGCCAGCACTACCTGGGGAGGTGATGGAAGTACTGGAGAAGGGAAGACACAGTCTCCTCTGGAGCTGCGGAGTTAAGGCTCAACTCAGGCCTTTTGCTTTGGAACTTTGGCACTTGCCTCATAGTTCTCAGGCTCTGCTCTCCCTTCACCTGCCCTGGGTGTTGTGCCTGACAAAGACTGGGTTGATGTGGGCTTTCCTATTGAACCTTTTGGTCCTCGCTATAGGTTTGCGTGTGCAGGGCAGGCAAATTGGCTTCAGCTCGATTTGCTTCCTACCCATGGAGCGTGGTTTTCCTTCCAGAAATGAATTTCCTTTGGAGAAGTTACAAGTCTAAATTGCTCCCTCAGAGGGAACTGCGTAGCCTGTAATGCAAATGGGAAGCAAAGCCCTCCAGCTTTTCTGTGCTATTGGGAGCAGGGAGGGAAAGGAGCCTTGTGGACTCCTTCCAGGCTGGAAAAAGCACACCCACAATGTAAGGGATGTCAGTTAAAACAGAGAGGATGGAGAAATGGGGGTTTTCAGTGAAATACTGCCTCTGCTGTCGCAAGAGCTCTTGGGCCCTGATCTTTATCTAGAGAATTTAATAACACTCTGGCCCCACTTCTTTCATGTGATTCTGAACCAAGGAACAAGTTGACATCTGGCTGGACCACACACCAGGATTCCCCTGCTGCATTGGCTTTGTAAGGGAGAGGCCCAGCACATCAAGATCTCTGCTGGACCTCAGAAGGAGCCAGTTCTTCTCAAGGGTTTAAGCCACACGAGTGATTTCTTGTTAGCAGCTCCTTTAAACAGGGCTGGAGTTGGCATTGGTTCCCTTGGGCAGTTGAAAGGAAACTGATGCTCAACCCCTGCCTCCTCTGAAGCCTCTCCTGCTCTCTCTAGGGATTGCCCTGTCTGCAGAGCAGTGGAACCAGCTGAAGGAGATCATTCCTGAGGTCGATGCTGCAGTAAAGAAGTTCTAACACGAAGAATCTTGGACACCTTCAATCTCTTTCCTTTCCCTTAAGTGCACTGATGAGTATAAAGGCAAAGATTCCCACCTGAAGCCTTCCCCTCACCTCGCTGGGGTTTCCTCCCTGAGGTGGTCATGCTGAAAAGACTCTTCTGTTTCCAAGGAGTAGCTTGTAATGAGCACTGGGAACCAGCACCAGTGCTTGAAGTGGGACTTGGGCACATCTGGTCCCAAGCAGACCTGAGATCTGTGCTGGTGAGGGACAAGAGGCGTGGATGGCTTCAGCCTTGTGGGATGCTTTACCTGGTGCTGTCTTCCACTGGGTTCAGTGTTGAGAAAGATGGGTTGTACACCTCCCGTTGGCTTCCTCCTTGTTTCCTCTGTGTGTCATTCAGCTTTTCTGTGTGAAGAAAGGGATTGTACTGTAGCAACTGGTTTGGCTGTAGAGGGTGAAGGTACACACAATAAAGGTGCTTGCATTATAAAAAGGCCAGGGTAGTACCTCACAGCCTTACACCTCCTTGATTCAGGCACCCTTCTTTGCAGGTTGCTGTTGGGTTTCCCTTTCAGAAGGAGAAGGCTCTCTGATGTTTGCTCTCATGCAACGTTCCCAATAATCCTGCTGGACAGAAGCAGCCAACGGGGCTGCTCCAGGTGATGGGAAGGGCAAAGGAGACTGCGAATCATTCCAGGGAACTGATGAGGAGGAAGCCTATTAAATAGAGGGGAAATTAAAGACCTGAGGAGGAAAAGGAATATTCCTTTCCCTGTGGCAGAGAAAAATGACAAGCTCTGGGAAGAGAGCAGAGAGGCTATTTTGTGCCTGAGCTCTAAATGGATCCCACTCTGGGCTCAGCTGCAGCCTTCCTCAGCAAGACTTTTCCAGACTCTTCAACAGCTTGCGTCTTCCATCTATTTTTGGGTTCTCTCTTGCCCTGGTTTCCATAGTATCCGAATGCTTCATGCTCTTAAATATATCTGACACTTGCAACACCTTGGTGAAGTAGGAGGTACCGAGGCCCTTGCTCTGTGGAGGTGCAGGGGCTGCACCAGCTCAGGGCTGTGTGGAAGATGCGGGGTGGAGCAGTGAGTTGAAGTTAGAGGCTTTCCTAAAGGTGGGATTTGTCCCTGCACTAAGGGTAGCAAGGAAGAAATCATCTGTCCTCACAGAACTGTCTCTTCAAGCCAGTTTTGGAGAGCTCAGTGCTGTGGCTGCTGGGTGGAGATGGGTGGAGTTGATGGTTGAGGTGTTCTCCTCTCATTTGATGTGCAGCTAAGTCTGCTTCCTCTCAATAAGAGGAAGAGCATGAGGACACCAGGCTGTGTCCCAGAGCCAGGTTGCTCATGCTTTAAAGCTTCCTGTGGGATACTTCTGCCTTAGTGTTCCGAGACTGAAGGTAATGGGAAGATGAAAAGCAAGAGGGGCTGGTAAAGTGGAGAGGATGGAAGCTTCTAGCAATGGATCTCCTGCAAAGGGAAGGTGTTTGTCCCTGAAGCTCTTCATCTGCCTGGCTTGGAGCACTTTGCTCTGCACAACCTTTTGCTCCAGACCAGAAACAATCACGTTATAGGAATGAACTTTTCCCTTCTTGAGATAGGATGTTGTTGCTTGGGGTTTTCTCTGCCAGGACTGTTGTAACTTGGCCTTTGGCTCTTGGGGAGCAGATAGGGAAGGAAAAGCAGCTTGTTTTAAAGGATCCTTGACTGACTTTTCCCCTCCTCTCTATTTCTTCTCGGAGCTGGTGGTTGGTTTTCTGTCTCCTAGGTGATGTGGAAACGCAGAGCTCCAGCTTGGCTTTTGTCCTTTCCTCCCTGCCTTTAGGAGCTGGAAGGAAAAGGCAAGCACTTCAATCGCAACGCGTAGCTTTGCTGTTCCTATGTCCCCTCTTGGAGTCCTTCTCTGCTGAGCTGGAAGTTCTTCACTTTTTCTCTTGTCTTTTGGGCCCTGTCTAAATCCAGACACACCACAAGCAACAGAGAGGTGCTTTTCACTCGGGTTTTATCACTAGCAAATCTCACCCTGCAGAAGGGAATCCTGGGCACACAATGTACTCTTCCTTTAACAGCTCTTTTGGTGGAGCAGCATCTCGGGTTTGGGCAGAAGCTGGCTCCTTCCTCCTTTGGGAATGGTGCATCTGAGCCCTGCTGTGCCCCTTGCAGCCCCCTCAATGTCGGCTGCAAAGGGGACCTGTCACGTCCCTTCTTCACCCTCTCTTGATGCCATGACTATGCTTTATCTGCCCCTTACCCCTGTTGCTGCGGTGTGTAAGTGTCTGCCTGGCTCTGAGCTCTTTCCAGGTCCTCCAGTTCTGGTTTCCATGGACTCCAAAAGCTCCTGGATGTACTTTGCCTTCTCAACAGGCATTTTCCACCTGAGGCACTGGGTCCATCGAGCTCTAACATAAGCCAGGAGCAGCTTGTGCTGGAGGAGCCAACAGGGAAAAGCAGGCTGTGCATGGAAAGGTGCTTGGAAATATGAGTTGCTACGGTACGATTCGTCCAAGGTGAGAGCTTTGCTGCTGTTGCTGTAGAGGTTTCTTGGCTTGAGAATGGTTGAGCTGTTGAAAACGAGAGCAGCTTGACCTGTCATGGGCTTCCCAGTGGATGTGTCCCGATGGATGGCAAAGCCCTGGCAGTGTTTGCAGGGGATGTGAGCCGGGCTGACCAGTGGGGGGAGTTCGCTGGGGCTATTTAGGGGCTGGTTTAGGACCCTCAGCCGCAGCAAGAGCCCTGCAATGGCCCCGAGGTTCAGGCCAGGAGCTGAGGGCCTTTGCAAGGCCATTTCAGTGAAGATTCCAGATCCAATCCCATGCTCCAGCCCCTGCTGAGGCTCGGGAAGCGTTCAAGGCCAGGCTGGACCTGAGTGTTCCAGCAGCTCCACGTGCAGATGGGGACAATGGAGGAAGAAGGATACAGAGCTGGAGCCTGGAGAAGGGCTGAAATCTCTCCAGAGCACAAGAGAGGAAGGGATGCACAGTGCTTCCCTACCGAGGACCAGCGTGTTCCTCTGCTTCTGCAGGGGGATCCCTCACTCTGGGCATGACTTGAGCCTGGTAACTGTTCATACATGAGCAGTGCTCTCTGTTCTTCTCATTTCTCCCTGGGATCAGGATCCCTCTGCTCCCCCAACCCCTTTTCCCTGATCTTCCTTGCACGCATCAGCACCGAAACCTGCTGCAGTTCCTCCCATTGCAGGGGTAGAAGCAAGCCTAACACATCTGGGTAGTACTGGTACATGTGGGCTGCTGTGGGGGCCTCCATCTGCCTGTAGCATCCAGGGCAAGAGCAGAGCGAGGTGGCAGAAGCAGAGAGCCCAAGCAAGGGGAAAAGAGGCCGCGTTGTGCCTGCCCCACAGCGATGGCAGAGCCGAAGGAGCTCGGCCTGAGGCTTTGCAAAGAGCTCCTTCGGCTCTGCCATGGCGGTGGCTGCACACCATGCACACATCCTCCTGGCTCCGGGTGGGAACCCATCATCCCCCCATCTTCCCCCCGTCTTCCCCCCATCCTCAGGGCCAGGATGACGGCAGCCCCGTGCCTGCGGCACAGGAGATGCCCGCTGGGGTCCTCAGCATCGCCCCGGTGTAGAGCGGAGGCGGAGCTGCCAGCCCGGCTGGGACGGCAGGAGCGGTCCTTGTCCTCCGGGAGGAGCCGGCAGCAATAATGGCTGCTGCAGCGTGGGGCCGCAACCGGCTCCTGCCCATCTGCTGCTGTGTGATGGGGACCCGGCTCTGGCGAGCCGTGGGGAGCCGGGCCTCGAACAAAGAGCTGTGGGGCCGAGAGAGCGGGGCTGCTGCATCACCTCCGTGTCCCAACCTCGGCTCAGAGCTCCGATTTAACCAACCCGTTCCTCAGCCGGAGGAGAAGGGAGCAAACCCCGGGGACGTGATACCGGGCACCCCGTGCCCTTTGTTAGCACCGCACCAGCGAGCTCCTCCTTAAAGGACCCTCCTCATCCCCTCGCAATGAGCAGCACCGGGGGCACCATCACCCCTACAACCCCCCCTTTTCCCCTCTCAACCCCCAGCATCCAGACCCCCCCCTTCCCCCGCTCTCTGTACCCCATGTGTGTCCCCGTCCCCCCCCCCCCCCCGCTCCATTTTGGGGTGCCCCGCCTCAGCTCCCCGCTGTCCGCCAGGGGGCGCCGCAGTGCGCGTCTTTGTGGCGCGGCGGCGGCGGCGCTGGCGGCGGGGCCGTTCCCAGCCGCTGCTTTGCCCCCCCCCCCTCCCGCCCGCCGCCGGGGCATGGCCAGACTCACCGGGGGCGAGGCGAGGAGGCAGCCGCCGCCGCCGCTCCCAGCGCCGCAGCCGCCGCCGCCGCCGCCGCTCCGAGCCTCCCCCATGAGCAGCAGCGGCGGCGCGGAGCCCCCCCCGCAGCCCGACAGCATGAAGGACCTGGATGCCATCAAGCTCTTCGTGGGGCAGATCCCGCGCAACCTGGAGGAGAAGGACCTGAAGCCGCTCTTCGAGCAGTTCGGCAAGATCTACGAGCTCACCGTGCTCAAGGACCGCTACACCGGCATGCACAAGGGTGAGCCCGGCCCCGCGGCAAGCACAAAGGGCGATGGGTACCGGCGGCACCCCCCCCCCCCCCCCCCCCCTCCGCCATGCATCCCCTGCCCCGCATCCGCATCCTCCCCGCGGGCACCCGGGGCCGTGACATCGGTGTTTGGGGGGGGATGCAGCCGCCCTCCGCCGCGCTGCGCTCCCGATGCTGCTAACAAAGGGTGTCGGTGTGGGGCTGCGGTGGCCGGTGGCGTTGCGGGGGGCGGGGGGACGACGACGACGACAACGGGACACCTCGGTGCGAGGTCGGGATGCGGGAGGGGCCTTTCTGTGATGGGAATGGTTTGGTGATGCTGGGAAGTTTGGGGAGGCTCGGTTGGCTGGGAGGGAAGCTGTCAGGGGCAAGGCCAGGTTGGACACAGGGGCTTGGAGCAAGCTGCTCCAGTGGAAGGGGTCCCTGCCCGTGGCAGGGGTTGGAGCTGGAGGAGCTTTAAGGTCCCTTCGACCCAAACCATTCCATGGGTTGTTGTGTTTTGGGATATCAGCACCCTTCTGCGGAGCTGCTCGAGCCCATCAGAGCAGGTGCTTGGGATCTTGTGATCCTCACGGCCCCAGCCATGACTGGGAATTCCTGAAGCCTGTTTGCTGTGCGAGCTCAGAGAGGGATCCCAGCCCTACTCCATGGCACGGTGATCCCTGCTCCATGACACAACAGCCACCACTCCATCCCTGCTCCATGGCATGGCAATCCCTTATTCATGGCACAGCGATCCCTGCTCTATGGCACAGTGATCCCTGCTCCATGGCATAGCAGCCCCTGCTCCATCCCAGCTCCATGGCACAGCAATCCCTGCT